TATTAGATTTTTTTCCTGCTTCACAAAGGTAGGCAGCAGCTTGACATGAAGCCATGATGGCAATTATTTTATATTATTATGTTATTGTATCGGCTGATACTGCACAACCAGGTATCGGGGCCAAAAAATGGCATCGGCGCAACACTATTTTTAAGTAATTTTGAGTGATAAATAATTTTTTTTTGCGATCATTGCACTTGCCCGGCGGGCAAATTCAATGAAATTTGTACTCCCCCAACAATAAAAACTACTTGTCCTGGGAGATCGGGCGATGGTTAACATCGAGCCCTGCATTTATATTTGAATTCATCTTGGGATCCTATAGAGTTTTATACCTACTTGTATTTTCAGACTATTAAAGATCACTGATTAAAGAAAGAAGTTGAATTCATGGATGCATGCAACTATGAGGCAAAGAATGAACTCAGAGAAAATATGTTCTCCGCCCATCTTATTTTCCCCATCGATCTATCCACAGCCGAACTGCTGCCAGTTTCTATACTTCTCCGGCCCAAAAAGACTCACCTTCATACTCCTGGAGCAGCTCCACAGCAGTGAGCAGCACTGCTCTGTGCTGCGGGTCCGTGATGTTCAGCTCATCCAGGTCCTCCTCTTCCAGCAGCTGGAACGTGTCAAGATCCTCGTAGCCATTAAAAAGGAAGGTGGGGAGATGCTCCTGTTGAGAACCGAGGAGAGACAGACATGATTTTATAAATCAACAAGTGTAGAAAAATAACAATATAAAAAAAATTAGAGTCTGGCTACATCGGACTGTATGTGTTTCTAAAGGGACATTTCTTTTCCATTGCCTCAAATTGATAGTGGCATTTAAATGTGTTATTTTTTGTGTCTTATTATCTCCACTATTAATCAGATACATTTTCATAGGCGAATAATATTATATTAGTTCATATATAAGGCTGGACACCCGTTTTTGAAACGCCATGACAGTCTGCCATCTTGAAAGTAGAGCTGCTGAAGGATAAAGACGTTCTTTCAACACATTACACAGGAATTGCTGCATGTTTCTCCATTGCTGGCAGTGCAGTGTGATTGAGAGGCGGCGGTGAAGATCATTTGGAGACGCTAACCCAAAAAACAGAGTCTGCAGCTCTATGCAGGACCATGCATCTGCAGCAGCAGCATAAGAAATGATTTCAGCATCCAGAAGGAGGCGAAAAGGAGAACTTAAACAGCAAAACTAGAGGCAAAAAAATAAACAAACGGGGGTCATCATCATCAGGTAAGCTTTCTCCAGGTGGAAGGCGCTAATAAAGGAGAGCAATTTTAAAAGGGATGCTGAAGTTGCCATGTTTCTCCTTAAAAAGTAAGTGAACTGTACTAATACAAAATTAGAGTAAACTGAACTTTTTTTCCATTCGGTTAAATTATAGAAAACAACAGTAGATCCTGTAAACATAAACCAATCTTGTTGCTACAGAATTGTAGGTTTATGTGGGTTTAGCGGCTTTCAAAGCTGTGGTGAACATTGGCCTTTTGTCACAGTAAATACAGGCTTGTAGAGACTTCCTTTCACTTCGGATGACATGGTTACATCTGTATTGTTGAGACACAGCAGCCTCTGTTGCCCTGATACGTGTTTGAGGCAGTGATGAACTAGGGGTTAGTCTTCACTTCATTGAAATACGGTACCTCCTTTTTACTGCTAGACGGCATTTTTATAGGGATATTGTGTCAGAATTACTGCCAGCTTTCACTATTATGACCTGTTCATATTGTTTATCTTGTAGGTTGCTGCTGTGATAAAATAAAACCAACTTTTCTTCTTTTTATTACACAACGATTAACTTTTTGTGATGCACTTCGCTCTCAATCTGCAGGTTTACTAGTGGTTCCTAGAGGCTGGCAGGGTGTTAAAAGAGACGCCACATGGAATGGCTAAAAGAAGCTATTTTACATTTCATTTTTTACGTTTTCAAGATTCTGTAAATATCAGGTGGCTCATTTATTATGAAATAAAGCCTTAAACTGAACAAGCTCAAGTTGTAGAAGTAGAAAACAGCCGTTTCCTGCAATTTGAAATCCGTTTGTTCAGGGGTGAAAGTATGGTCTGGTACTGGTAAAAGTAGAATGGGAGGCAGATCTTTTAGTTCTCAGGCTCCTCTCCTGTGGAACCAACTACCAGTTTTAGTCCGTGAGGCAGACACCCTGTCTACTTTTAAGGCTAGGCTTAAAACTTTCCTTTTTGATAAAGCTTCTAGTTAGAGTGGCTCAGGTTATCCTGAGCTATCTCTATAGTTATGCTGCTATAGGCTTAGACTGCTGGAGGACATAGGGACCCCTTTTTCTCCACCCACTCTGCAGAATCTGTTAGTTCAATCTCTAACGTTCTGCTCTCTCTGCTTTTTCTCATAGTAGCTTCATCTGGTCTGTTCCTGTTTGGCTGTGACTCCATCCTGGAGAGAAATATCAGCTGTGCTGCTGCCATCAACACCTTTGCTTATAGATGTTCAAGATTGGTTTGTTTTCCAGTGTAGTCCTGTTTCTCTGACTGTGACTAACTGGATGTGCTCTCTTCATCCTCTGACATGGGAGCTGGCTCGGAGCTCGTCTGCCTGGCTGTGTGTTTCCTGGACGGGGCCGCCTGTGGAGCTGGTTGACAGTTGCCTTTTGTATCTATGCTTCTTTTTCTATGTCTATGACACACAGAGTCTGGTTCTGCTGGAGGTTTCTTCCTGTTAAAAGGGAGTTTTTCCTCTCCACTGTCGCTACAAGCATGTTTAGTGTGAGGGATTGCTGAAGAGTCAATGAGTCGATGCAAACAATTGATTTTCCTTAGATATAAAAGTTTGAATCAGTTTGATTGTATGATCTGGTTGAACTGTAAAGTGCCTTGAGATGACGTGTTGTTATTTGGCGCTATAGAAATAAACTGAATTGAATATAGTTCATCTTTATCAACAAAGAATTCAATGTTTTTTCTTCTTAGTGCCTTTAAAACGATGATCTCTGATGTCTACCTTCAGATTAATGCGCTCAAGCAGCTCCTCCACAGAAGTCGGTTTGGGCTGCCTGGCCTTCCTCCTCCTGCGTGTCTTTTTGGCCTTCACCTCCTCATTCAGAACGTCCACATATATAAACTTGAAGGTTCCCACTTTACCGTTGAGCATTCCCATCCAGGTGCCCATCGGGGGTTTACTGATGATGTCGATCACATCTCCACACTGTTTAAGGAGATTTTGGAATGAGCCTTTTTAAAGACATACAAGGCGTTCATGCATGTGTGATTTAAAGCAGGGCACCTTCAGTTTGAGGGAGTCAGTGTCGTAGGGACTCGGTGTGAACTCTGTATGAACCAGTGCACGTCCACAGAAAGGTCCACGGTAAGGCAGCTCATCTTCTTCCCCATCCTCAGACTTCACGCTCTCTCTGTTGCTGTTAGACGAGTCAGTGGTGCCGACCGTCTGGCCGCCTATGCAAATAAAAGAAAATAAGATCTCTAAGTATCTGTCAAACATTTCCTGCTTTCCAACCACAATGAAACGGTGGAAGTAACCATTTTCAACAGCTAAACATAATGAAAACCAGAACGTTTAGACTGTTTCAAAGGGCATTTCGATTCCTTCAATGCCTGGACGATAAAAATCACATCTGGTGCTTCACAGCAAAGTTAAAATAAATTCTGCAAACAATTCCTACCTAAAACCACAACAGAGAAGCTGCTGACTTACTCATGGAGCTCTGCCCACTGAGGGAGCTCCTCAGACTCTCCACAGATCCTCCTGGCTTCAGCTTGGGCTTCTCCAAGGAGTCAGAGCTCATCTGAGGCGATTGAGGGCAGCTGGCTACGCGGTCTGGACTCGACTGGTACAGAGAAAAACAACAAGTTATTAACAGCGTTTTTCAGCAGGTAAAATAATCAGCAAAGCTCCACCCACCATACCTGCTCAGAGGGAGAGCTCTGGTATCTCTTGGATATGTGTTTTCTCATGGTTTCCCTCACAGACTTGACTTTTTTACCCAGAGAAATCCGAGACATTGAAGGAGACCTGACTTCGCCTCTCGACCCACTCTCTCCATCTTTTGTCTGGTTTAAAACAACAGAGAGGGGTGAAAAACAAGTATAACAAGCTTTTAGGGATGCACCATATAATCGGCCCCCTATCGGTATCGGCCTTAAAACTGAATATCGGACATCGGCCACCCCACCGATATTTAACCCGATATTTGATCAGCTTCTGAGTTTCTGAAGTCTTAAAAACAAAAAAAAAAAAAAAAAAAATACTTCTTCTTCTTCCTCAAAAACTTCTTTTTTACAGACTTAAAAACTTCTAAAGACGAGGGAAAAAATATTGATACATTAAAATATCCCAATATCTTCATATGCTGATATATTGCCATTTAAAAACACCATATCAATCTCTTTTACTAATGAAATATTGCTATATGTCATCGTTATGCTACGAAATCCCCCGAAAATTCACGAAATGTTGCCATATTTTTATATGTTGATATATTGACGCGGTATCGATCTATTTTACTAACAAAATCTCACAAGAATTTGCAAAATATCACGAGAGTTTGTAACAGAACGATGAAATTTCACGGGATTTTGAAAGTAAAATAGATCTATACCGCGTTTTTAAAAATCAATTTGATATCAGCATATGAAAATATATTTGAGTATATTATTTTTCAAAGTGTCAGAAATGGATAACAAAACTGCTATTTTCAATGACTACTTATTTTTGTCCAGCTTTAACATCGGTATCGATATCGGTTATCGGCTACATGAGTTTTAGAAAATATCGGCATATCGAATATCGGCCAAAATCCCAATATCGTGCATCCCTACAAGCTTTCACACCATAAATTTCATAATTTCCAAATTTTCCACCATAAACTTGTGGATTTATTTATTTTTCTTATTGGTAATATATGTGCCTTTAGAAAGACTGTAGAAAATGTATCCAAGTTAACCTGATGATATATAGTGGAATTTGTGAACTACATTATATCTCCTGTTCGACAGAAAGGTTGAGTAAAAAGGACTAATTAGAACATTCCCATTTACTCTGGTAATCAAATCCAAAAATAATCAAATTCAAGTTAAATTGAATCCAGACTAATGAGGATTGTGGTTTTAACACATGGAACAAAATCATTGAATTCATTCGATTGGTTAAAAATCAGCAATATTTTAACATACAGTGTTGTCATTGTCCGAAGTGGCTGCTTGAAGTGAGCGACTCATCAGGTCAAATCCACCAAAGCTGCAGGCTCTCTACAAGAAACACCATGTAGAAACAGTGAAGGTTAGACCAATTAAAAATCAGTGCAAATAAACGCAGCATTTAACCTACAAGCAGAAACTGGAGGAAACACAGAACCGTGTTACATGAGAACAGGAATTCTCAGTTTAATCTAGTTTATTATCATCTATAAAATATGTAGAGCAATGCTCAAGTACAATCAACCTATTTGATCCCTTAGAAGGCTGGAAAATTGTAATTTTAAAAGGTAAATTAGATCTATAAATACAACTTAATTTGTCTCCTTTTTTAAGATTCAATATTTTTTTATAAGCCATTTGTGACACACTGCAGTCCAGAATCAGTAATTTATACAAAAAAATCAAATGGAAAAGATTATATCTTACAATTACTTTTTTTAAAATGTTCTTTAAAGTTATTGGTTTTATTGAGTCAGACAACTTTGATTTGATGAAAGAAAACTAAATAAAAAATCAAATTATAGATAATTTCCTGGGGATTAAAGCTGTAGCAGTTGGACTCTAAGGCCACACCTTTACAAAAAAAATCCTCACAAAAAAAAAAAACGTTTGTAATAAAACTCCTCTGGAATTACAAGGTAGATTTATTTATTTTTTTTTAAGTTGAAAATCTTTTAACCACATGGTCACATGTTCAAAGTATTGTATCACTAAAAAGCATGTATTTCTCCCAGGACTTACTCCATGAAGGCTCAGCGAGGCCAGAGCGCGGTGACGGAGCTCTCCTTCGGTCACAGAGCGCGCCATTTTGGGCTCCTCTTCGCTGCACCCCTCTGCGTCAGAGAAGGAGGAGCCCTCCGCCGCCTCCCGCACCTCCTCTACCGCACCGGCGTCCTGGTGAACGGGGCTCCCGCCGACCTTTCCACAGGCCTGGAGCATCTTCTGGCTGCTGCATGTCTCCAGACTGCTGGAGGAATGGGAGGTGGTCAGGCTGTCGGAGTCCCTGTCAGGGGTGAGTTGCTTCTGCAAAGCTGAAGCCAAGGAGTCCAAGGGGCCGACCGGAGGCGTCCTCAGCACACCTGAATGCGGGGACTGGCTTCCATCAGCACCTAGGCTCTCTGGGAAGGCAAAAATATAAAATTTACTATAATAGCAATTTATGTGGATTTGGCAAAAATATTAACGTCTATGTTCTGTTCACTCAATATTAAAATCACCCAGAAATATCCCTTATCTAAGCACCTTCTGGTTCACAGCTTTTTGTGATGTTACAGCTGCTATCCTCAGCAGAGTTTAATAGGATTTAATGTGACAGAGCAGTTTGTACTCAGACCCTCCGATACCCCTAAATATAATCCACTAGAATCAACATCAGTGACTAAACAGCTTTATGAAGCACAGAAAAAACAAACAATTAAGATGGGTCCGGAATAAAAATTTTAAGTTTAAAGCAGGGTTAGGTTATTAAAAACACCTCACAGAGTGACAGTGTGGCACAATTGCAAACCTACCAAGACTAGGCCTGTCACAATAAGCAAAGAATGGAGGCAGATCTTTTAGTTATCAGGCTCCTCTCCTGTGGAACCAACTACCAGTTTTAGTCCGTGAGGCAGACACCCTGTCTACTTTTAAGGCTAGGCTTAAAACTTTCCTTTTTGATAAAGCTTCTAGTTAGAGTGGCTCAGGTTATCCTGATCTATCTCTATAGTTCTGCTGCTATAGGCTTAGACTGCTGGAGGACATAGGGACCCCTTTTTCTCCACCCACCCTGCAGAATCTGTTAGTTCAATCTCTAACGTTCTGCTCTCTCTGCTTTTTCTCATAGTAGCTTCATCTGGTCTGTTCCTGTTTGGCTGTGACTCCATCCTGGAGAGAAATATCAGCTGTGCTGCTGCCATCAACACCTTTGTTTATAGACGTTGGAGCTTGGCCTGTTTTCCAGTGTAGTCCTGTTTCTCTGACTGTGACTAACTGGATGTGCTCCCTTTCATCCTCTGACGTGGGAGCTGACTCGGAGCTCGTCTCGTGCCATAAAAATGGAAATAGTGCAAACCACTAGAGGGACTCGAACAATGAACAAACCATATCGGACCAGACCTTCTGTAGAAACAGAAAGTCCAGCTTTAATGCAGGATTTTTTTTTTAAAGAAAGATGAAGGAGAGAAAGGAAAGGTTTGTTATCTTTCATTTCATTTTCAAACACATAGTGCTACAGTATTATGGAATAACAGCATAGTTATGTAACCCTCTCGTCTGATGAGGCTTGTTTGACTCCCTCTAGTGGGCTGGAGCACTTCCATCTTGTAGTGAGTTTGCTGCTCTGTTTACTATTTTCATCAATACATCCAGCAAAGAGGTTATATTATTAGGGAGAGTTTGTGATTCTCTCTTTTTACAGGATAACTTGAAGAGTTATGAACAAATTTTAATGATATTTTTCAAAGGGGAAGGTCTTGTGTCGGGAAACAATTCATAAAAATTTCTCAATGATCCAGATCCTGTGCGAGTTACAGCTGTAGGTTTAAATCACAGTATGGGGGGAATATTAGCCGCTTGGTGGAGGTTTGTGCTCTGAGTGCTTTTCTAATTTTCTTCCTGTGATTGCAGCATTTTGTCTGCAGTTGCGGTATTATTTTTTTTTTTGTGTTTTTTTGCTGATTGCAGTTTTTTTGCCTCTTTTTAGTGATTGCAGCATTTTTTGTTTGAAGCATATTTTTTAATTGCATCACAAGTTTTAGCTGGTCGAATCGTCGTTTACCGTAATAAAGATTTAACACTGCATAGCATTTAAAAAATAATGGTTAATTTGCAGCTGACATAAATTATTTCTACTTACTTACTAAAAAATCTGTTCACATCAGTTTTTCAAGGCTCATGCATTTATTGATAAACACCAAAATGAAACGTTTATATCTCCAGAATAATCAGTGATTGTTTTAGTAACTATAATATCTCTGGAGGAGATTAAATCATTTAGTTCATATGAATGATGCTGTTTCTGGCAGGTATCCAATACTGCACATTAAGCTGAACCCACCAAAACTGTAGATAAACATGACGGTGGCAGCATGATTCTGTGGGGATGGTTTTTCTTTTTATCAGAACATTCAGGGAGGCTGGTCTGAAATGAACGGATGACTTTAAATTCAAAGCAGCTCTAAAAAAACCTGACACTGCAAAAAAACCTGAGATAGCTGAAGATGTTCACCTTCTAGTATTCCTGATTATAGCCCTTTATTATGTGTTAAAATGCTCTATTCAAGGTCCAAACCTACGTCCCACTGAGAATATGAAAAAAGTAATGAACTGACAAACCCTCTTGGGCTTTTCTGTTAAAAGAAGAAAGAAGAATGATGTAATAAAACGACATTGTAAACGTTTGGATCAGTACCATCAGCTCCGGTTCTTTTGGACTCATCTATTCGGATCAGTTTTTTCTTCACTTTCCGTGTGGAGTTGACCAGTTTGTGGAGCCTTTTGAAGGTTGGAGATTCCTCTTCGTTTTCAGACAGCTCAAGAGGCTGAACAAAAAGAAAGGTGAGATAAATATTTTATTTTTAAAACACTCAGTTAACACACACACACACAAAAAAAAAAAACCTAGTCTGATCAGACATTACGAAAAAAAACCCAAAGCATAACAGTGAAGGATGGTGACAAAATCGGCTGAGGTCATCGATATGTAAAAAAAAGAATCTACAAGCAACAGGATGTTTCTACTTGCTGCTACAGAGCATACCTGTGTATATATATGTTGTATGAAACCACAGCTGATATTACTGTGACTGATGGAGACCACATACCCAGATGCTACGTGTGAAAGCAAACTAAAATAAGATGTGAAAGAAGCGACGGCCACCTGCTGGGAAATAACCTGAGCCACTGTTTGAACTGGAGCATCAGTATTGTATCTGAACACGAACCGAGGGCAGCGTGTATAACCCAGAATACACATCTGGAGTCAAAATACAGCTGATTATAAACCAAAAGGTCAACGTGAGAGGAAATGAGCTAAAATAGTGAATCAAATTTATTAAAACAAGACAGGACGTTCAGACAAATCTAAAAATGCACTGTGAACCTAAGCCTCCCTAATCACCCCATCCAGGCACAAAAGAGCTTTGCCGTGCAGAACAGTGGCCCTGTGCTCAATCCACCCGCTAGCAGCACAATAGGGGGTTAGCGCTTTGACAGAGATGAATAGAGGTCCACCCGGAGCCCTGCAGTTGGGAAAGGGCCCCGAGCTGCAGAGCTTTAGAAAGGCCCCCGGTTCATCGCTGGGACATGGGCAGATCGAAAGAGGGGAAGCACTGTCAACAGCTCAGCCGCCTTGGCACCGGTAAACCAGAGGCCTCTGAAGCGCAACGCGCTGCCCGATTCAGCGTAAAAACTGTAACTAAGAGCCCAGTGGAGCGGAGAAACTCACAGTGCAGCTGGACAAGTCGTTTGAACTGGAACCAGAGGGATCTGGGGAATCACATCTGCTTGTGGGTCTGTTTAGGGTCTCAAACTCCTTCAGCTGCAAGAAATAAAATAAATCACCTTTAAAATCAAAACTGCTAGACAATGCAAGCTCTTTCTACACTTTAACAGCGGTAGAAAGGGGTCAAATAAAACAGACTTGGACACAACAAATGCATCTCAATTAATCTGAAGTTCAGTTTAATTCGTTCTTCGGTTTAAGATTAATTCAGCAGATGTATACATTTAAAGCTTATTTTCCTTCTAATTGTGATGATTATATGTATTATGGCTAATGAAAACATAACATTTCAACATGACAAAAAAACCTAACTATAAAAAACATATCTATTACAGAAAGTTTAGGCCCGGGTCATAGTGATACTGCTGATTGAACAGCTCCCATTCATAAAAAGCTTTAGGAACAGAATCTGGCTAATAACAGAGTCGTATGGTTTTCATTATTTATTTTTGTTACAGGAAAGTTGTGTGGAAGGAAAAAAACGGTGGAATAAAATGAGCACAAGCGGCAGAGATGTATGTTGAGTGAGTATTGTGCAGAATTTGGAGAAGATTGCAGGACTTAGGACACAGGCAAAAGTACCGATGCCTGCTTAATAACTATAGTATTACTGTGTTTTACCCAACAAAGAACCTATGGAGAATTTTAAAGAGCAAGAAAAGGAACAGCAGAACCAGCATTAAAGATGAGTTTAAAGCGATCAAAGCACCCCAGGCTTCCATGACGCCTCAGCAGAACCAAAAACTGCCGGATTGAATCATAACGTCAATCATTTCAGTTATAGATTTAAGAATAAAAATGTTTTAGAAACTATGACATCATACCCGGGCAAGAGCTTCCTCTATGGAGATCATGTTCTCCTTCACCATCATCATCAGCTGTATACGCTCTTCATCGCTCATCGTGATCTCGCTGGCGACGAAACCAACATCGTCACCTGAAATAAACGAGCACAGGGGTGAGAATCTGCATGTCACATAAACTGCGTAAACCCAAACTTGATTTTTATTTTTTTACCTTTTGTCTGACGCATCACCCCTTTCTGTGGCTTGCGGAAGCTCGGCCATAAAGACTTACTTTTTTTCTTCGTGTCCCATTTCGCTAAGAGAGACATACAATGTTTTTTAATGCTGAAGGAAAGGCATCAACTGAGAAAATCATTTAGGTTGGATGTGGAAAAAACTCCAGTGAAAGTTTAGTTTACCTCCCGATCCATCATCCGAGTTGGATTTGTTCACAGGAACCCTTAAAACAAATAAATAAGAACAATAGTGAGCTTAAAAATGTTTAAAATATAAATTCAAACATCCTAAATGGATCAGTACCTCCGATCCAAAAATATTCTCTTCATTCTCACTGCTCTTTCACCATTTCCCCCCCATCAGGTCTTTCAGTTTACTCGACTTCTCAGATTCACGAAAAGAAAGTCATTTAAAAAAAATAAAAAATAGGAAATCACAAAAGCGCACTGTGCCTCAAGACAACAGAACGATGGTGCAGGCAAATCAAACTGGTGAAAAACAAAAAACAGATGAAACAGACAGGCTGCTCTGGGCTGATGAACAGAGGTCAGAGCTCTGCAGCCATCGCTGGAACAATGGAGGCTTTTTCTCGTCTGCTCTGGGTTTTGTGGCAGCAGCAGCAGCATGAGCGTGGCCTCTGCATTCCCCGCACACTTTCACACTCCCTCTCTGTCTGCCTGTCTGTTGTGCATGACCGCTGGCTTCAGTCCCTCCCTCAGCTGACTTCTGTTGACTGTTTTCAGTGCATTTGTCTTCAAATAGATCAGACCTCTACTTGCTGAAGTATATTAGGCAACAAAAGGATGATGCAACATTTAATTACTTTAATATAAAGTTATATAGATATATTGCTTTAAATTGTGATAATGCTGAGTTATATTACACCGTGCTTTAGATGCTAAATATAAAAAGCTAAGCTATCATTGCAAAATCAATATGTGCTAAGTTGCAATGTTTGGTAGGCTGTTATATTTTAAGCAACTTGTAAAAGAACTCTGGCCAATTGCATTGGATGAACTCCTGATAAACAGAAATTAAAACTGAGAACCACATAGAGTAGGCAAAATAGATTCTACCTTCATTAATACCAACATCTATATCAGCATTAACTTATTATTGTGCAGCTTTCTATCATATAATTGTATATTAACACAGTTTAACAGCAGCTTTGCAGGTCGGTTCTAATTAGAGACGCATTGATCAGACTTTTAGGGCTGATTTAGAATCTCTAATTTTGTAAAGCTTTGATACCCGTTTTAGCAGAGTCTGATTTGTCATTAACAGATGAGCAGCCGGTTACTTAAATTAGAGGCAGAGGCTGCATCACACTATGTGTTTCAGAGAAAACACTCACTATAAAACCACAGTCAAAAATAGAAAACACAAAATGATTGAGGTGCCGACATGTTAAATGGGTTTGAGCATTTTAGAGATTTAGAAAATGATGAAAAAAAGAAATCCTAAAGATTTGCCTTACGTGAAAAATTCTGTGTACAAATTTGGAAAATTCTGCATGTTTTCCTGGACAGACAGTTGATACTGAGAAGAATAAACAGCAACTCAAAACTTTGCTCCCTTCCTTTTTGTCTTTTCTTCTACTTTTTGAAAAGCATTGAAAGTGAATCATTTAGATGTATACTTTTGTTGGGGAAAAAATTAACAAAAGTGGTTGTTTGAATTAAAATATAGTCAATTTTATAAACAGGGAAATATTGCATTATTTTCAACAATATGCTTGCAACCCACAAGGGGGCAGTATGAGTTTAAATGAAACATCAAACTTGAACAACAAATACTTTTTTTCATAAAACTGCATTGCCAACATAATTAAATGTCTAAAAACAATCATTTATCGGATTTTAGGTTAGTTCTCTGTAATACAATCCTCATAAATCTTTAGTTATGCTGCTTTAGCATTAGTCAGCACTTCTACTATTTTTTTATTCAGATGATTCAACTTTCTAATGACAAAATATGAGTAATCAATAAAACCCTTTGAAAGAAACAATGGAAGGAAGGAAGGAAGGAAGGAAGGAAGTGTGGAGGTTAAAGAGAAATGCTTTATGAGTGTGAGTGAGGGGGGGGGGGGTGTCACCAGGAAGGGGAGGAAACGCACATGGCCGACAAAGAGCAGGGAGGCTAACCTGCCCTCTGCCAAAAGATGGAGATCCAACCCATTTTTTCAGGGATAGAACAATCAGCATTTTTATTTTACCTTCTGTCAGTCTCTGTTATCAGTGAGCCACTGCCGAGTCCAAGAGATTCCTAAAGAGATGGGAAAGGAAAGACGCATTAATAGAGCTTTGCAAAGTTCCTTCTTTCCTGCAGCAGAGAATTTCAGGGCATTGGGAGATTATAGAAGCGTCATGTATGAACCAGCAGTGATCAGAAGCTGCAGACTCTAAAGGTCTTAAAACGAACTTCTCACATTCCAGCTAATTTTAGCACGTGTAAAGGATGTGAGGGGGAAAAAAAACCCTGTTTCAAGGACAGTGTTCTGCATCCCAGTGGGTCAGATGTTTCTTTGTGGCTTCTCACATTGCTTTACTCTGTGATAATCATGACCAAGCACCCTCTCATCCTCATATCGAGTCTGTCTGCTGACGCACAGCACAGGAAGCGGCCTCCTCCCGGGGTCTGACACGCTGCAGCCCGGACACTCACCTGGATCTGAGAGCGGAGGTGTGGTGATGCGGCCGCTGAGTCAACCTTTCCCTGAAAAACACAGCAGAGGCGGAGGACTAAATTGCAGCGTTGTCGTAAACAAATATTTGGCATAAAGTTCATCTGGTCTAAATGGCCAGTCAACATTTTTTAACACCGACGGCTGTTTAATCATCTCAGGCTTAACAGATGCTTTCAAAGCATTTTGTTTTAAATGTAACACGTTTGCAGCTGGTGTTAAAAAAAAGTGTTAGGTTTTAAACTGAGTGGTAAAGTTACAGTGGATTTATCACCTGAACATGTTTATAATTGTCATGAATTGAAATGAAAGTTAAACCATACAATCTAAAAGCAAAAAATTAACATCCATCAAAGTGTCAACAGTTCCAAATGAATCTAATCCACATGTACTAAAATGTGTTTTTATCTTATATCAACCTCAAGGCCAGTGGATAAGATACGGCCGCCGAGGCAATTCATCCGACCATTGAGCCAAAACTGCCTCATGTCGTAAAATAGCGGCATCAGTTTTTTTTTTAAGTGAGCGTGCCTAAAACCTCTAAACAAATTTGAGGAAAGTTATAAAATCAGAGCGCTCTGCTCTTTGCAAAGTTTCATCCGCACAGCTGTAACCTGCCCGTTTCAGGAGCTGATGATGCGGAAGAGCTGCAGATTGATGCTAAATATATATATACCCCTTATAAACAAAATAAATAAATAAATAACCACAGCATTTAAAGAGTAAAGACAGACACTAATATTTGGAGAAAATATTGGAAAATAGTAAAAATGCCAAACTGATTCAAGTTAGAATTCTCCTATAAGCAAAGTTGACCTTTTGGGCTTTTGCCTCCTCCCATCAGGGGTGTGCAAATCCAAACATTTATGACATCCCATGATTGGGCCCATAAAGATCACCGGGACTAACAGATTACGAACACAAAGAAACAATTGTTGCTCTTTGATGACTCCAGGCATTAAAAATGTTGGAAACAACTGTTTTGTAAATCTATAAGTGGTGCTGTGCTGTATGCTTGCAATCTGTGTCCTACGCTACCTACATTTTTCCTGCATTACTTTTTACTTTTATACTTTATGCAGTTTAAAAAAAAGGTACCTTTACACTTTAATAAGTTGATACTCTTACTTCTACAAAAGTGTTTTCAAACAGTAGGATTTGTACTTCTACTTGAGTAATAAACATTAATAATAAACAAATAGAAGGTCGTCTGCAGTAGGGAGAAACCGTGCAGAGTATAAATGCTGCAGAAGTTGCGTCGGCTAGTGATGGCGATTTCAGAGCCTCATGAACCAACAACATTAGATGGACCAGTTTGGATGCATTTGTTGCAGTTTTAAAGGATGACATCTGCTGGATTGCCATGAGAACGACCTTTGAGCAGCTGTCCTGACTGATGTCCGTGTCAGTGGCTGCTGGCCAATAGAGGGCGCTAGGGCATCGCCCCACCAGCCCAATGACCTTGATTAAGACATTAAATAAGAATTTTAGAAAAACGTAAATGAAATAATAAGATTTATATTTTATAATTTGTATTTACAAAAAATATTTCGAAATATATTCATATATATTTTTCAGATGTGCAAAATAAATATTCAATCTTCAACGACATGTAAAGCGTCATTTCGTTTTTCGTGATTGGTGACTTATATCCGCCATAGGGTGGAAAAATGTTTAGCCATTGACTCTCGTTAAAAGCTGTACATGCGCAGTAGCTCCTCTGCAGTACTGAGGTATAGGAGAGCTCAGGGCGCACCAAAGCTACGCCCTGAGGGGACAGGAACTGTCATCACAGATGTTGCGCGGTTGATTTACAGGCCGAGGTGTGGGAGGGAAGCAAACTTACCAAGAGAAGCTGGAGGTGAAAATGTTTGGACCTGATCAGCTGAACATCAAAATAATCAGCAGTACAAAGACAGATGGAGACGGTTCACTTGGTCTTTTTCCAGGACCTGGTTTAGGTCCCGTCCACACGAAGTCAAAACGAACATGAAACGCTAATATTTTCCAGAACGTTTGCCGTAAAGACGGAGACGTAAAATAAATGTGATCGTCCACACGAATGCATGAAAACGCTGCAAAATGTATGCCAGGCCTGTAAGTG